AGCAGATTTTACGCCAGTTTGCCTATTTTTTAAATTTATGTATTGTTTAATTATATCTTTAGAGTCTAATTAATATTTGTTGTTTTTCTTATCGTTAAAATTTGCCATCTAATAGCGAAGATATTAAAAGGGGCCACAATAGCTATAGATACTGGCCATAATATCACTTTTTTCCTTTATATATTCATATAAAATTATTATTATTACAAAAGTATTACTAATATAAAATTATTTCTTTATTTTATTAAATCTCTAACAATATCAGCAATAACAAAAGCAATAAAACTGAGAATTAAGTTATGAAACATGACACAGAATATTATTGCGTTTATAAACCCACTCTCTTCAACTGAACGAGTTATCTGTAGAGAGGTAGAACACCCGATCCTGTGCGTATGACAGACTGTATTTCTATATTGCGTGATTAACGTATTAAAGTTGTGTAATCTTTAAAGAGATAAAATCAACTTTCAGTCAGTCTCAAATAACTTTAGGAGACTTAATTTCAAAGAATAGTGTTTACCCCCTCTGTTAAAGATTGAAATGTTGCAGTAGAGCAAATAATTTTTAATCAAATCTGCAAAGTCATATTCTTTTGTTGAAACAGATAGATTGAAATCTAGTTGGAATAAGTTCGCAGCGTTACAAACTTTAACATTTAAGCAACTACAACTTTGTTAACAGTAAATGAAATTTAAATTTAAAAACAGGATTTTATAGCTTAACCCCTCTACTTTCGAAAGATTATTATGTGTTTCAAGTTTCTGTGAATTTGATCATTTTTACATATAGAAAACTACAAGCTAGACAAAATGAGAATTGTTTTTACTTTGTGCCTGTTACGTGTTCAAGAAAAACTTTCAAAAATTTTCGATTTTCTAAAAGCTAAAAGCTTGAAATTTTTTTCCTCTAAAATCGTTTTCTTTTAATGTTCATAAAATTTGTTACTAAAAAAAAATATTGCGAATTAAAGAAACTTTATTAAATGCCAAAAACACATGTAGGCGTGATACAAAAATGAAGTAGTACTGCAAACTTTTATTCCACCGTATGTTTTACAAATAAAAAATTAAAATATTTACACAAGAATAGGCAACGTTTTGTAATGAAACGTTATAGTAGATCTGTAGTATCGTATAATATACAAAACAAATCTCTCAGTCAATGTTCCCTTATATTTTATAATAAATATTTTATATTTTATTTATTATAATTTTCGAATCAAGTTTTTATAAGCTCTCCTTACGTAACATTTCTTATTCAATTTATGATTAACATACTAGAGTATTAACTTAATTGTTGGAAAAGTTGAAATTAAAAAGTTGAAATTGTTTTTTTTTTAATGAAAAGTATCCTCTGTTTATGAAAACATATACTATAATACGATAATCTTATATAAATAAGATTACGTCAGGAAGTATAAAAAAAATTAGGTCTTATTTCATAAGAGATAAAAAAACACGGTCTTGATATTGTCAATTTAGGCGCTGTGATATCTACGCAAAAGCCTAAAAAGAAAGATACTACAATTAATAAACATGATAATAAATAAAACATATTATAATTGATCTCGTTTTATATAGTTTGATTCTATATTTGCGCGCGCACAAGATAGAGGGAGGGAGGGAGAGAGCGCACATATATTGAATAATTTTTATACACCCACACATTTCTCTGATAAATCTATCTTTATCAGTGTTACAATTTTTTTCATCGCAAAATGTAATATATATATATATACATTCATCCGTGGTGTGTGCAGATTTATTTTTACTCTCAGTGATAAATCCGTATAGGCCAGCGGCCGGGTTAAGATTTTGCGCAATTTTGACATATGGAGAGATCACGCGTATTATCTCGCACGATATATATGGCGAAAAAAAATTCGTAGGTGTCATGACAATACGCGGAATGGCGATCATCCGGTTTTGTTTATGTCTCGTTTCGACGTGACGACCGGGACCCGTCGTTATTATCACGAGAAAACCGGTTCGCCGTTGGATCTAATCGGTTTCATATCAGCTGCCGTTGGGGGAGTTCAAGAAGGCAACTCACGATTAACTTGTACCCAGTCACTCGCCAAGCCGTTCGTAGCCAGTTAAACGAGGGGCTCCTCCGTGTTTTTTTTTTTTCATTCTTTAAACTCGTGCATGCACGTGACGTGCGATAAGGAGACGCCTGTTACGAGCCAACGAGCGGTCGAAGAACGCTCTACTACGCCGCATGATATTCTCTTTCAATTAAAACAGTTTTGTCTTTTAATAGCGTCGTCTTCTGACTGATTATCGCTGTTCTAGCGTTTATAAATAAAATGAATAAATGAACAATAATTCTATCATCGACAGCTGTCATTATCACTTTCCGTTATTTCCTGATGATGTTCCTCTGCACTCTTTTTCTTGAATTGACTGCTTCCAAAAAGAAAATATTAATGTATAATTCACGTTTAATCAACATGAGTGAAACGGGATAAATTAATCGGAATTTGATCAAAGCTGCCTAATAAAGCATTGAAGCGTGCAGTTTAAACAGCGTTAATGGCTTATTACATTTTCTCATCCGTGGGGTAAAATAAAATTTTGAATCCACATAATTAAATTGTACTTGTATTTTACAATTAATTTTTGTTATTTTTTAACAAAAATATTAACTCATACATAATATTTCTGATATGTAAGTAATAGAATTTTCTATATTTTTAATTATTTATTGTAAAATTCGGACATTGCTGTACAGCATGGTACATCAAAATTAATGCAGAAAAGCATTGAAAATGGCCAGAATAAATTATAATAAAAAAAAGTATGACAAAATATTGGATACTTATTTACATTTTCAATATTTTTATATTAATTTTTACTCGCAATATTGTATTGATAATGTTAAAATTTTAAAATAAATTAAAATTTTTTAAAAGTATTGAATAAACGGATACTTCAACAAACACTTGGTATTTTTACTTAAAAAAATAACGAAAATTAATTAAATTGTAAAATATAATAGTTACTTTTAAAAAAATAATTAACACTGCAACGACTTTCATCGGCCGCGAATGAAATCTCATCTCCTGTTTCAATCAGAACAGTTTTGTCTCACGCCACCTTATTCTTATTTTTCTTCGTAAAAGAAGATTTTCACATATATAGGTATATAAAATTTAAAATTATCACAACTAAAATTTTACAGTTGACGAAGTGCTAGTTTTGCATACTTTAACGAATCGGATTAATAGCATGAAAAAGAGACAAAAAGAATGAATAAAATTGTGAGAACGTAAAAGAAGAAATAGGTAAGTTAAATTTTACTTTATGAATAAATTATAACTTAGGTCAAAATTAAGGATAGAATTCTACTTATAATTTCATGTACTATATGATGCAACATTTAAACATATAAAGAAAATCAAAGTATGTATTAAATACACTAACATATATACATAAAAATAAATGGCATAATAAAAAAAATAAGAGCGATAAAATTATAGAGAACTCCATCGTGGAATCTAAAGCGAATCATAAATTATGTAAAGTTGGTTTAAGAATAAGACAATGCGATTTTAAATACAAAATTAGTTTATATAAAATGTATACGTATCTGGTTTATTGTCAAAAGTAAATGACAATATTTTTGAGGTTTTTCCAGTATTTACTTCAAAATGCCAGAGAATTTGTGGTTTATCGTCTTGTCGTAATAGATTGCTAATGTTAATGTTTCGTAAATCTTGCCATTCACTTTATTAGGGCGAGGAGCGCATCAATACTGAGCTACTCCTCCCTTTATATATACCTACAGACGTTGAGAGGAAAAAGCGGGGAAAAGAAAAGAATATTTCTTTTATAATTTCTTTTCTAATTGAAAATTGCTCAGGAGAACAGTTTTTCATATTTTACTTACGTTGTTTAAATTATCTGACTATTTTTATATCTCTAAAGCTTCAAGATTCTCTAGAAATACAGAAACATAGGTTATAACATAATTAAAATATGGAAGATTTCTTTCCTCTATAAATAAAGTTTAAAAAAAAGTTCTCTAAAGGAGCAATTTGGAATCAGTGTACTATTCCCTCTGATAAAGTGAATGACAAGGTTCACGAAATCTTGACATTAGCAATGTTATCTATAAATGTTCTGGCATCTTTAAAAATAATAACAAATTATGCGTTCAAAAGTTTTGATTTTGAGCTTAACCGATTTTACATGCTCTCTCTCTCTCTCTCTCCCCCCCTCTCTTCTGTCTTTATATATTTAGTTATCTAGGAAGAGGAAACAGAGGAAAGAGAGTAACGATAGCAATGGTTCACATTTGCTTTCGTAATAAATGTACAGTTTTTATTCTTGAGCTATCGTTCAGTGTGTATCGAATATAATCATTTTTTAACTCAGTACAAGTAATTCTTATTTGTCACATAATTTTTATGCCCATGCTATTTTACGGCATAAAACAAATTGTACTGTACATACTGTAAGTTGCGATTATTCTATCATCCCAATACTGGATGAAGATGGAACAAAATTTAATTATGTGTGGAATATATATATATATATATTTATAATTAATATATTAAATATAGAACCGAAAATTTTTCTGTCAACAGATTTTAATTGCGTGCTTTAATAATCTTAAATACTATCAATATAAGATTATGTAATTGTAGATCCGGTTATCTCTTTTTCCATATGACACAAGATTCAGTATTTGTTTTATCAAGTTCCATCATTAAAGATTATACAAACTTTGAAACCTATAATCATGTTTATAATTTTATCTAAAAATTTACAATTTATATAAATCCCACACAATGTTCATTAATGGTCGCTTAATTGTAAGAACGTGATTAAGATAGCTCCTGATAAAAATAATCAGTGCGGTTTCAATGTAAAACAATCAGCTGTAATAGTTTAAAATTGATGACATGTGCAATGGGGATTCAGAATTATAATGAAAGATAACTGTTTGAGAGTCGAAAAAGTTGATCTTAGAAATCGACCCTCATAGGCGGTAGTATAATTTTTTGGAATTATGAATGAATTTCTAATGCAGGACGAGAAAGTTCTTAATATCTCATGCCAGATACTTATTCACAAATATCGTAAATATTTGAAATTTTTATTTTGTTAATGTTCAATCGCGTTCCCCTCTCTCTTCGGCTCGTTCCTCTGCCCTAGCTTTCATTCTGGTGATGAACGCTTGACCCTTGTTTTTTCGGAAGGTCTCATACGGATCGTTTAGATTAATTCCAACTCCTTTGTATTGGTCGTTCTTATCACGAATCTCGCCTCCTGAAATGGGCGCTTCAATGCCCTGTTCGTTCGCACCAAGACCAGCACCACTCCAACCCATTTTTTTGAGTAATTGATGCCCTTTATTGCTCTCGTCTAGACTAATCTCTTGTGGAACTTTACTATAAGTGGAGCCACTGAAAGTAATACAACACAAAATTTTTTATAACACGTAGAAAACGTAGAAGTTAATGAGACGACGTGTAGCTCAGTGTGTCAGCAATTGATTTGTAGTTAGCGAGTTTTAATAAAAAATTCTCGAGAAGTTAGCACTTACAGAAAACTGGGAGGAGTTGGACTTCTGTCCTGCCTATCCATTCTCTTATCAGGACTACGATCTTTATTACTATTTCTTCTCCTCCGACTTCTATTAATGTGATTGCTGTTGCGACTGTTGCGTCTGTGATTAGTAGCGGGTGATCTCGATCTACTTCTGCCTCGCGATCGCGAACGCGATCTGCTGCGTGACTTGCTGCGATAGCGTTTCTTTGGCGGACTAGGACTTTTAGATCTCGGCCGTAAAATTGGCGATGGAGATTTGGATCTCTGCCTAATACCAGCAGCTATATCCTCTTCTTTACGTTTGCGAGAGGAATTTTTCGCCTTGTAATATTCATATAATCCTAATTTCTCCCATCCATCACTGTAAATATAATAAAAAAAATTATGTTAACAAATATGTACACAAACATGGTAACTCATATATTTTCATACATATCTTTCCATTTTTATTTCAGATAGCTCCTTTTTTATTATATATACACACATATTTACCTATCCCTAGGAGAATCATGATTTGGTGGTGCATAAAATGCCTCTACAGCTGCAACTAAACGATCACTCGGTGGAGCTGGTGGTGGAAGTCTTATTGCATCTGGATCCAATGGTTTATATTCACCATCTTCTAACTTTATTAGAGGTACCATTAAACCCGCTGGAAGCTCGAAGTACGGCATACTGGGCATCAAATCCTCCACAGATGGTTCATGAATAACAGGTGTAGGTCCAAAACCTGGCGGTGGCTTTGAGAAGTCTGGCAAAGGGACATTGCTAAATGGTGGCGGTTCATTTGCAGGAACACCCCATCCTGGCGGTGGTTGACTGAAATTCACGTCTGTACCTATTGCGTTTGGACCAGTATGACTAGGTATTGGTATATTTTGCTGACTCTGTACAAAAATAAAATTTTTTATAATAATTTAATAAAATGTTTTGTAGACATTTAAACAAAATATTCAATTTAAAGGAAAAAAAAAACACTACCATTGGAGGTGGTGGCGGTGGAGCTTTCAATTGCTGATCTATTGCCATCTTTTGCTGTTCGATATTCTGGATCTGTCTTAATGCATGAGTGACAAATGCTTGATGCTGTGCTTGATAATTATCAAATGTTTGTTTCGTTGATGCTGTAATAGGAGTAATTGCGGTAGCGTGTTGCGCTACTAAATTAGCTTGGTACTCTGACCAGGATGCGCTCGGTTGTTTTAACTTATCTATGATGCCTTCGTCAAAATAATTATTTTTTGATTCCCATAAACTCAAAAGCTTATTTAGCTTATTAAGCTGTTCTTCAGAAGCTGCTAGTGAAGTGTTACAGAACATGGGAACAACAACACTTTCCATCGCTTTGCGAAGATCCACAGACTTTTTTCTTGCACTGAGGGGAAGTATCCAATTATATATCTTGTACATAGTTAATGGCATGTCTTTTAATTTATGATATATTGTTTAACATAATAAAATTGTAAATATAAATAAACACGAAACGTATTAAAAACATACACGTAGAAAAAAGCTTTAACTTGTTTGTAGAAATTAAAATTATTTTGAAAATTGATAATGAATCTAAGAATAAAAATAATCTATTTTAATTACTATAATTACATTGCAATTCATTTGTATCATATATAACATATTACATAAGTGTCATATATGACACATTTATACTAACCAGTGATGCAATACATCATTCACCAGATAAATAATATGTAATTTATGGCTGAAGGTCGTCCCTTGAATTACTCTGAAAAAAGAATATTTACATAAAGATAAAAATAAATATACTCCTTTTGCACGTAAACATAAAATATGTTAAGAAGACATACCTTTTTAACAAATGGTCTGCAATAACTTGATTACTCTGCGATGTAAGTGAATTTTGAAGTATCCAGGCCTTTCCTGCGCTTATACTATCCTTCGTGCAGCTATCAATGATCGGTTGTAACACAGTGTCAAATGCAGCCAAGTCCGTGTTTGTATTTTGCGCATTGTTTTGCAAAGCCTGTTCCTGTGCCTGCCTCACAGCATCCTCTACCCGTCCCTGCTGTTGTGCCATTAACGCAGCATGCTGCGCAGCCAGGTTCTGTTCTGATTGTCTCACTTGTTCCTGCAACGTCGTCTGCTGCGACTGTAGATTCGCCAACTCATTCTGCAGCCACGCGGGCGGGCCTGCGATGTTAACCGCTTGCGCGACTCCGGTGATCGGTGGATTCACACCTCCCATGGCGCTGGAAACCGGTCCAATCGACGATCCTGCATTTCCCGGTCCTCCGATCTGTCCAGGCAAAACGGGACCGGCCTGGCTTCCAACCTGGGGTCCGATCCCGACTACCGGATTTATTCCATTGTTTTGCGTACTCAGACCGGGCGCAAGATTGACGTTATTCAGTGGTTGCGAGACGGTGTTTGCGGCTGTTTGCTGCTGCTGCTGCGAAACGTTTAAACGTGGGTCTGCATTTTGCATTGGATTTATTCCTTTTTGCTTTAAAACTGTAAACGAATGACGGTGGATTATTGTGAGATGCTGAGTCCTTGTCAATCGATATTTGAAAAATTTGTATACAAATAGTTCTGTTTTTTTTTTCTGTGAAGTAGTTATCTTGTATCGATGCATATAAGAAAATCTTGGACATTTACACGAGAGAAGTACAGTATCAGAAAATTCGGTAAATCTTTTGGGAGCACTATATTCTTTTTTTTCTTTTCTTTTCTCTTTTTTGGCATTTTTACAGTACTAAAATATATTACAGGGCATGCTATTTTGGACAGTGGATAATATTACCCACTTAGATTGAAGCAATACATTGACAATGTATTTCACGTTAGACAAACTCCAGTAAGAATGTTAAAACTACATCTTCTCAAAATCGCCATTGCCAAGAAATGCAAGGATGTTTTTAGTGTAAAAGTGTTCTGCTTAACAAATAACAATCCCAAAATCTTGAGAGGAAGATGTTCTTATTCGATGAATAATACATTTTTTTGTATGTTCGCAATGATGAAGAATCAGACTCTGTATCGCTTTTCAAAGTCATTCCTTTGCTGGTTGAATAAAGTATGGCCTTTTTTTTATGCTTCTTAATCACAGTAGCTGTTAATGGGCTATGTCCCACTTACTGGCTTGCTCTGTAGTCACTTTGTACTGATAGTAGTTGAAGTGCTCCCCACCAAACAGGAAACCGAACTTCGGGTTGTCCTTCTGCTTATTCTTTGTCATCTGCTCGAATTCTGGCCCATTGCGAGCGACAAACTGTGCCAGTTTGTCTATGATGTTCCGTAATTCTGTGTCTGAATGTTATAAGCGAAAACAACAAGAATCAGATCTAAATTAATATCTAACAAATCTATAATCTATACTAGAATTTAATGGCTATTCAAGTAAATTTAAGCACCTTTATTGAAAAATGCTTAAAACTGAAAGCAATAGAATACAAATAAAAACAATTATATATACAACATCGTAATTATAATAAAAATAAAAAATATACTTTGATAAAACGTGAATTCATAATAAAGTATAATGAAATCCACACACAAGAGTAAATCTGTAAAATTGACAGTAAAATGTATATTAGTTACTGATGAAAGATTAGCATTTCTACTTCCTACACTCAGAATACATGTATATGTAGAGTTTTGCAGGTAATATGAAATGAATCCAGACACCACAATGATTTGAAGTTTGATTATTATTGTTTCGCTATACTGTTTTCATAGAAAGCCGCTCGACATAGGCCAAACGAAACAGCAAAAGTGCAAGCAAAAGGCACACATTATGGTTAATGCGAGGGTATGCGAGGGTTAATTAATTAATATCACATTAGAGAGAGAGAGAGAAAGCGAGTGGGAAGTGCGAGAAAGAAGCGCGTGCGAGAGAGCGCGCCTGTGCGGCCGATCGGCGTGCTCACCTGCGGGTGCTTGGTCCATCGTGACGGGGACGCTCGATCGTCGATGATTCTGTTAAAATTACGCCGTTAAAACGTTACGTACACTACCGTCCGCTCGCTCGATTGTCGCTCCGTGCATAAAAAACGGAGCACCGTTTCGTGGTGCATTATTCACTCACGGCGGGCCGGACAACGCGCTAAACGTCGCCATTACAACCCTACAACCTCGCCAGATCTCACCGCTCGCGGCGGCTCGCGGCGGCCGACAGTGTCGCCAACCCATTGGGCGTCATGATTCTCCTGGCATACCGACGGACTTGGTCGGTAAAAAAGAGTCAGCCAGACACATTAAAATAAATGCTTTTTATTTAATTTCTTCACATAAACGAATTAAAAAAAAATTTATAATAATATATAATTATATATATATATTTGTATATATTATTCATATATATATTATTTATTTATTGTTGTAATTGTAATAAATTGATTTATCATTATAATAAATTTTCTTTTCAATTATTCTTCGAAACTTTTGATATAAAAACTTTGTTTATTTTATTCATTGTTAATTGCTAATCTGGTGAAATTTTTTTTACAAAAGTTAAAATTTTTCAGAATTTTTATTTAAATTTTAGATTATTTTGGAATAATTTTATAATTTCTTATAAAATATTTCTCGGATTATTTATACAAAATTAATTCGATGCGTCTCGTGTTTTTTTTTTCGATACGCTTTTTTCTTAAGAAAAAGAGATAGGAATCTGATGTTCCTTTAGCTATTGGCTATTGGACGCATGTCGGATTTATAGGGACATGCCCGTCTCCTCATTCCGTTTTGCGCTTTTTGGCGACGATGTTTGAGGTTCCAAGAAACGTTCGAAGACATCGCGGCAATCGGCATTCGCGGCATCACGGATTCGTCCATTTTGATTTCCACGTGGATGTGTAACAGTTCCTAGCGTCTCTGTTTGGTGTTTACACTTTATTAAGTTTATTTCGGATGTTCATCGTAATCTGTATTCCGATTTGGATCTGTCTACTGTCAGCTGTCGCATTTTAACAGTAATGTCAAATGACTTTCACATTTTAACACTGCGTTTTCTTGATTTTTGTATTGTTCGAACAGATTGAGTTTACACATCGATTAGCTGTGCCGATAATAAGTGCTTCTTTTATTTCGACTCCTTTCGTTTTTACACGGGCTCGTCCAGCGAAAATTGGTAACAATTGAATAAAGTGAATACACAATTTTTAAGAATCTAATCGTCAATGGCAATGTAGCAGGTTAGGTTTCTACCTTCTGTCATAAGCAGCCCTAGTTTACCAGTTTTATACTTTCGTTATATTAATGTTAAACAATTACATTTAATAATGAAAATATTTTTATTAATTCTCTAATTATTATTAGATTAAATTATTAGATTGCTATCAAGTTTTTTATTCGACTGATATTAAATCGTGATTTAATAGCCTTAAATCTATAAAGAAACATCTGCTAAATATGTTATTGATACTTTTAACATGCTAGAAAGAGATAAAGTATCATATAATTTTGTATCTAATTTGTTTCAGCTTTTGTGTACATTTTCTGGCTCTAATACTGTTTCATTTATTATAAAAATAAGATGACTGACAAATCTTTGACTGGTTAAGTATATTTAGGTTTATATCAATGCAGTTAATGTGAGAAACATCAATTATAACTTGATATATTTGATGTAAAATATTAAGATGTTGCAATTTTAAAATAAATGCTTTTGAACATTTATTCTTGAGATTTATTCCACTTTAAATGATGTATAATTTATTATGAGATTTTAGGATATAATTTTATTTACAATTTATCACTATGTTTGATATATATCTATGTTTTGTATATTTTATAATTATGTATATTGTTTTTTCATATTTTTTGTTTGTATTTTATAAAATTATAAATAGAATTCTATCCTGAGAAAAATTATAAGTATCTTGAATGAAAATTTTCAACTTTATAATTCCACTTATAAATAAACGGAATAAAATGTGTTTAAATACAGTATTTTTATGGATAAAAAAATAATTGCTGTAATATACTAAAATTTGATGTTTACACATATTGCATACGTTTTTACATGCTTTAAACTTGTATTCATTTATATTTAAATGTTTCATAATATTGTATAATTTACAGAGGTGCCAGTTGCACAAAATGAAGTCAAGTCCAGCTGGGCTGATGAAGTTGAAGAAGAGGGAGGAGTATTACCCGCACCGACAGAAGTCTACGAGAATAGTTTCAAAATTCTCACTGAACATAAGTACAATCAAGACAACAAGAGAGTCAAGGTTGTACGTACTTACAAGATAGAGCGACGTATAGTTTCAAAAACGATTGCGGCACGTAAGAATTGGACGAAGTTTGGCGATTCTGCTGATGATAGGCCAGGACCTAATCCAGCTACCACTGTCGGTGGTGAGGATGTCTTTATGCAGTTCATATCTAGTAAAGAGGAAGAGAACAAAGTGGAGGAAGACTCCCTGGATAAATTGAAAAGTATGGGCGATAAGGGAGTTGTTAAGTGTCGTAATTGCAACGGCGATCACTGGACATCCAAGTGTCCGTACAAGGACACTGTTCTTGCTGGTGGTAAGTTATGTTATCAGAAATCAATTAATATAAATACGAGCTAACTTTTAGTTTATATCTATTTATAATCATTTAGTTTAATTCCGTTGTCTCTCGTCAGAGATGTGACCTCTTCTGCATAGCCACTCATATATAGGATCAATCTTTAATACCGATTAATAATTCCTAGTAGTTTATTGAAGAAGTTGTCATGACAAAGTTATTTTCGGTGACTTGTCATTGTCTTCTGAGAAGTTATACTTAAATAAAATTTGATATATATGTGTTCTCTAGATAAATTTGAACTCAGATTTTTTTTTGGCATAGAGAGCAGCCATGCGACTCTATACGCCATGTGATTGCCACATTTATTTATATAAATACATCATAAATATAAATAAAATTTTATTTATATTTTAATTATATAAATAAATGGTATCAAGATACATTATTTTTATACAATTATAACTGTTAAAATTCTGTCTTTTAGGAAAAGTGCCAGACGACAAGAAACCTCTCGTTAATACTGGAGTACCTGGTGCCATGGCTGAATTGAAGCCACAGGGTGGAAAGTATGTGCCGCCCGGTATGCGCGACGGCGGCAGCAAACGTGGAGATTCAATGCAGATGCAGAGACGTGACGATACGACTGCCATACGTATTTCTAATCTCTCGCAGAGCACTACAGATGCTGATCTAGACGAGCTTGTGAAGCCATTCGGTTCCGTCGTCAAGCAGTTTCTCGCCAAAGAGAAGCTTTCCAACCTCTGCAAGGGTTTCGCATATGTACATTTCAAGCATAGGGCTGATGCAGCAAGAGCAATTGCAACTCTGGATGGTTACGGTTACGATCATCTAATCTTGAGCGTCGAATGGTCGAAGCCACAAGCTCAAAATAATTAAAGTGATGCGAAACATGCGACAGTTACGAACAGAAAAGTGAAATTAGTTCAACTGGAAGGCATACTTATAACAAATGAATTATGTCTATATATATTCTTAGGATATCGGAAGTAGAAAGACAAGTGGCTTGTATTCGTGATTTCTCATTTAATTCTAAATGTGAAAATTAAATTTTAAATTAAAATATATATTATACATTTATATTATTATAACATATTATAAACAATGTTATTAAATTAAGAATTAAATATTAAATTATATAATATCGTATTTAATAATTTCTGTTAACAAAAATGAAAATTCTCATTTAGTGTTAAATGTACAGCAGATGAATACAGGCCACGAATCCTATTTTTATTTTATATTTTAAAATTTATTCACGTAAATATGTAAATATGTAAATGTATACATTTCATGCATACCATACGTGGTAAATTCAGGATAACTGAAAGAAGATAATAAACTTCGGGGCTCTCCATACCAAAATATAAAAAAAAGTTTATATGAACATGTGTTCGCAATTAAATTTACTGTTACTGAGATGCGGCTCAAAATTTTTATTAATAGAGAAAAATAAAAAGTAATATCTCTATTATTATTTAATATTATTTATTTTTAATTTTTAATTATGACAAATATTCGAAGGTCTCTCTTTTGATACAATACACGCGTGGACGTCGATCATGGACTGTCGCACTCTTTCAAATTCCGAGGTAATTGCGAATGGTTACAAGCACCTCTTCTTCTTGAGTCCCTATATGGATTTCGATTAGGGCTCTGATTTTATTCCATTTTTCAAAGATACGTATAAATATCGTAGTTACCATATAAATGTTCATTCGTTAATGTTATTTTATTTTATACTTATTTTTTCGTTTTTATTACACTCAAACGTCTTTTTTTATATCCAAAAAAAGATTTTAATTTTTTCAACCCATCACACTACGAAAACTCCTTAAAGAGATAAGTTTATAAAAATAATGCGAAAAGATGTTTTTTTTATAGATGGATGTGCTAAGTATACGTATATATGTATTTTTGTTTAAACGTATAATACTGAGCCCTATTTCCAACCCATTTAAAAAGTTACAGTACCATGCGACCATAATAAGGATCTAACAGATCCAGTATGAATCTCCTTGAGCAGCAGAGGCCACGTATAAAATAATCTCAGATTTCAGCATCGATTGAGTTCCAATATGTCAATACAAATATCAAAGATGCGTTGGCATGTAAAATAAGGAATTTTATAAACTAAGGATTTTAAGTACCTACACATAAAAATTTAGCGGATTTAGATCGAGGAATTAAACATTTTAAATTGCGGGTATATATTCATAAAATAAGAGGCGATCATGGCGTAGAGCGTAGTGTGACTGCTCCCTGTGCCAAAGATCCAGCGTTTCAAATCCATCCCATTAAATTTTATTTGATCGGCACATCTCGGAAAGCAATGGCAACCTCCGAGGGTATTTTTGCCATAACTGTTCGGCGTTAAATTGTAGATTCTATAGATATATGCACACTCTAACACGCATGACCAGCGAGGCGTTTTAATGCCAAATTCCTTCCTTCCAAATACCATGTAGAATGGAAAAGGTAGGAAGAAACCGAAATCCAGAAGTGGATGAAATAAGGCTGATACAGACAGATTCATATAAACTTTTTTTCATGTTTATTGTGGGGAGCTCGGTCCCAAAGTTTGTTACCTTATTTTAGTTACACCCTGTATATAGCAAAAAAAAAATAAAGATAGTAAACAGGGGAGCTTATTCTTCATTATAAATTTATTAAAATGTAAGATCTTCGCTTCTAATATTGTACTTCATAATTCAAAGCTACTCTGTTTACTTGCGTAAGAAATAATTACATCAATAAAGTATACCTTGTATTTTGAAAGTCTTATCAATTGAAAAATATATTGTAAGTTTTTATATGACGAATTTATTACCTTAACTCTCTTACGGCCTTTATTATTAACATTAGGATGAAACAGAGATGATGATTAAACTTGGAACTTTGTTCATTTACGTATTGACATTACAAGTGTAAGTAGCTTAGCATAGACAGTTTTATTTCAGTATATTACATAGATTATATTGAATCACAATGAATGTAATTACATTTGGATCTGGCCGCGCGACTGCATTATAAGTAGACTTAGGTACATATTTCCAGAATTGTAACATTAACGTCTAATACAACCTTACACAATACTTTATAGAAGACTCCTCGAAAGTACATTCATCGCGCTAATTACAATATAATACATCATTCTTATTCCTTTTTTTATCCTGCATTCGTCATTCGTATTTTTTTTTTACTCGAGATCAGTTTACGACGACACGTGTTGCTGTTATCAAATATAACAAAGCCACAAGTCGTATATAACTCGAGAAAAAAAATATTGAGGACAAACCGATGATCGCTAAACAATTAAAGATCGTTGAAAATTGTGAGCGATACGAAACATCACGTGTCACTCGTATTTAACATTCTTCTCCTCGCACAATGAATCTAGGACACCCTGTTATAGCCCAATTATCCGCGAATATATAGTCGCCAATAAAGATCAGCCAGCTGAAAAATGCAAAATAATTACAATTAACAGCTGTCTCTTTACGCTTAACAATATTTATCTCTTGCGCTTTCCGACATAAGTAAATCGCGTTGCACGTATATAGTCTGAAGTGTTTCAAGAAGAAATAATTTTCATATTGAAAGTAAAATTGATATTATAATTGCATCCGTAATGACGCGCGTACGAAAACCAATTTCAGTTTAAAATTTAGAATTAATTTCCGCGATTCTTCCAAGTGTCCGTCAAATTTACGTTTCGCTAAAATTTTGTTTGGTCCGGCAGGTAGCCTTTGATTCACGAATTAAGAAAATTGTCATCACTTGTCGTCGGAGGGCGAACGGGGGATGCTGGGTCCAGCGGTGAGCTTTATCACGTGACATTGATCTCCTCATCCTCCTCGTTTTCCGTTTGCTCTTCCGGCCTTTGCGGACTCGTGAGCGGACTCACGTCGCTCAGATCCATTCTCGGCCGATCCCCGTCGGCGTCGCTCAGATCCGGATTGGGGTTGTTCTTGTTCGGTAACGTCTGCTCGCGCGAGCCGCCAGTCGCCAGCAGCTCCCGCTCCTTGCTGTTTCGCCACTTCATACGTCGATTTTGAAACCAGATCTTCACCTACAAATGTAACCCATTATCAGCTTACAATGAAAATCATTGAATTTAATTCTTCAAATATTTTTCAAATATTTGTGTCAAGAAAAATTATAAGTAGAATTCTACTCTGAATTTCGATACAAATTATAGAACCAGATTTAACAACTTTAACAATTATAAGTGGAAATTGGATCTGATTAGTACTCTTATTAAAATTGACGATCAAAATGTATTATAATTCGTAACGTTATTTCCAGCTTTAGTTTATGATTGCGTTTCAAGTCCAACAAGATCTAATTCTTGTGATGATGACTCCAAACTAGAGTTTGATTAGATTCAACCAGAAAGGCACAACTTAGACCCTTACATGGATAAATCTATGAAACATTTTAGTTCGAGATAATCAAAATTCAATTACAATAACAGAATTCGAATTATGATCAGAATTAGTTTTGTTTGTGTTTTTTCTGATCCTAATTTTTCCTTTTATTTGAGTTGAAGTTGAAGACAATTAAATACTTCATCTTCGCTAATTCGCGAAAACATAGTTTGAGTTTCGAAGGATTAAAATGCAGTATCCATGCAAGCACCAGAGAGGATTGTTTTACGAAACGACGTTATACGGTGCATCAGAACGCCAGTGTACGTAATCGAGGAAGAGGAAAACCGTTACTTTCCCGCGTTAAGGAGCCACTGAACAGGCCAACGTCAAACGCACACTCGGGCACCCCGAAAGTCTCTCTCTCGCCCACCCTTGTTTCCCGTCCGCTATGCCGCCCCATTAGCCACTTTATTATACGCGTTCTACCTTGAGCGAATCGTTGACCTCGGTTGCGCGGATTGATCTACCTAAACTGCTTTCCGAATTTTCATTCGCCATCACCGCCGCCGTGATGGTGTGCACTTGACACCATCACGGACCCACCTTCGGGGGGTCTGCGCTCGCTCTCGCACGAATACAACACTTTGCGCTGCCCCTGATTGATGCCGCGGGACGTGGATGTTCGATATCGCGAACGTTTCGTCAGAAATGGAAGTCACTTCAGTTTAAAAGTACGTTATCGCTTATGGGTGATCGCAGATCTGCTCGTTCCGATTGCGCTCTTCGCGTTTTTCATCCTTCTTCCTGAAATTCGAATATGGAATTGTCAGAAAAGGCGCGATAATGTTTCGCGCGGGGAGAGTTGCCAAAATTCATTTCATATTATTGTTGGGGAAGAGTTGTCAAAGTTACTTAAGATTATTATATTTTTCATTAATGGTGATACTAATTAACACTCAAGTTAATTATCAGTTAGAAAATTATCATTACATAAGTTGATCAAAATTTATATCACCTAATTTATTAAATGTTTATAATATGCACAAAAAATATGTAATTAGACTATAAAATGTTTTGTCTATATTTTTCATTGCGTGTTGATTATATTTAATAACAAAAAACAGATGAAATGAAATTTAGGTAACCGGATATCTCTATCCTAGTAAGGGTTGTATCATAAGAAAGAAGAAATATTTCGGAATAAAAATCGCAAGAGCTAAGATATTAGTCAATCATTTAAGTGTACATTAAATTATTTAATTCGTGTGAAATATAATTCTATTCATAAATTGCTCTGTATTTTGATGTTTACGTGTATTTTAATGTATATTATTTTATATATATATAATCCAAATTCTTCAAAACAATTTTCGTGTTACACGGCGCATAAAATTATAAATAATATTTTATCCCCCGAGTCCCGACATGAATTATGAATCGTCTAAAGTGGGCTTGAAATAAAATCATTATATGGAAAATCGCGCGCGAGAGTAGCCGAGTAATGCACTTAAAAATCACAGATTGTGTCATATATGTTGCACAAGTATTTAGTACAAAATACTCACTTCCAATTATCTCTGCAAATTAATTAAAACTATGATTTCTAAATGGAAAATATCACGAAATCCTTTTTTTCCCTAAATCTAGAATATAAAATGAAACATCGAGAGGTTCGATTTTCCGTCGTAATTAGACGACGAAAGGATGGGGCGAATCGCGCTCGCTCTTTGACCGCGCATAATTTCGCGACATATTCTCGACAATCAAAAATATATTTTTTTTCCCGGAGTGTTTCACGCGCCGGTGGACGATGATGACGCGGGCAAAAATTTTCGACACTTTCGCAACGTATATCTTATTCGGCGCGCGCGCTACGCATTCGGCCGGGCGCGGTGCGTGCGTTTGACACCGCGCGCCATCATTAATACCGGCCCTCGACCTAGAGAGATTGAAATTTAATGTAATTTATTATTTTTTAATATAACCCATGAAAACGTTTTACGCGGATATTTTCGATGCACGCATCCCCCGACCCCCCCCCCCCCCTCCCTCCCCTGCCGGGCGTCCCCCGGTCACTCGAGGGAGGAGGCAGGCGTGTGCGCTTGACACCGCGCAAGCTAAAACGGATTTTGACGCGTTAATGTGTTTTTCCGCTTTATAGCGAGATCGCCGGGGATCGGCCGCATTGAGAAAGGAGTCACGGCCATGAGCGCTCGTCGAGCAGACTTGTTTACACGAACGCCATTCAAAGCGCGGACGGACGCGATCATAATCGCATCGTTAATCGCCAAGCTCTGTAATGAAGGCAGCTTTCATTCCATCGCTTGAAATAGCACGATTTAATTATCATTATTAATTAGGTATATACGTATGTATACATACACCGTGGACGTTCAAACGCAATATTGGATAAAGGGCTTCTAATAAAGAGTAATTATTATGATATCTGCAATAATTAGGATTCTCATAACATATCCGAGCGGAAAATATCAGAATTTTGACGTGACGATGAGTAAAAACTTTTATTGTTATTGTTATTGATATCGCAAGGGAGTTCTCTTATTCAATTTTATTATCTCAACTGTAAAATCCTGTGAATCTTGAAATAAAGATTTTAAGAGAAACATGATTAACAATTAAAGCATCAAAAAACATAATTTATTAGTAAAATATTGAAGAAATGTGATTTATAATCGACATTAAAAGAAAATAGAAGAAAACGGTTTGTGTAGTGTAAGGACTATAAAAAGAAAGTAATAACGGAATGCTTTTGAATTTATATGCAAAGATTTTAACGAGATATCATTCTAGGATTTTAATTGAGAGATATCTATTTTTTACCGATTAAAATCGTCACGATTCTCACCGCGAATCATTACGAGGACCGCTCGTTAAGTGCCAAAACAAGTAATAAAATCATTAACGCAAATGTATTCGTATCCGCGTCCCGGCATCATTAGAGACCTCAACGCGACACTAATAATTCTATCAATTACATGATTCGTTTTATCGGTGTAACGCGCTGACTCGCCGCTCGCCCAATTGCGTGTCAATAATATTTGTAGCATTTATACCTAACGCTTGTAATATTGCAGAATACGCGTTTAACCAGAAGTCAATCACAGTTCACACGCACGTAGTGCCGAAATCAATTCATCGCGAATTACGGTGAATTTGATTGTAGTTCTGATAGAAATCCGGCTGATATAGAAATCCAACCGACGAAATTTCATAACAAATATTATATTTCACTAGTGGCAAGAGATAAAGAAGCCTTGATACAAGTATTACAATGTAGAGAATGTAAATATTTTATACGTTGAATAATTCGTTATTATTTCAGCTGCAAATTTGTATACATTGAATAATATATTATTATTTTAGTCGCAAATTTGTAATCGTAAGATATTCTGAATAATTCTTAATTAGGAAAATTACTAATGAAAGAGAAAATCCTTTCAAATCAGAATTCAAATTTAAAATCTTATTCCTTCTCTTTCTGTATAGGTATCTATAATTTAATAAAGTTTAATTTGCGAGAATTTTCAATCTCTATAATTATAAATTAACAATAAAATTATAATTAATTTAGCACAAATCATATTAAATTTGATTATAGTTTCTGACAGAAATTCAACTACCAATGAATTTTCATAGCAAATATTAAATGTCACATTTTAGCGATGATAGATATAGATCTTAATACAAAAAATATAAAAAAAAAGTTAAATATTATAAAAGTTAAAAAATTAAGTTTTTAATAATCGCATAAATTAGGAAAAATCTTACGTTTCCTTTTACACTTTACGTATACTAAAAATTTAACAAAGTATCCTTGAACTTTATAATCACAGCATATCAATAGAAAAATATTACGTTTTTTCACATTTCATATTTTTATCCCTTTTTCACGCAGCTTCTCTTCTCCTACAAGGAAAAGGAAATTCTCTACGAGGAAAAAAAGTCGAGCTTTCAATTTTCGACAAAGTGTATATCGATGAAACGTGTTAATGGACGATTTGAGCCTTGCAAGGTCTTTCTCGCTTCTGTTGCGTCGTTAAATAACGCCGTAGATAAATTAACAAACGGTGGCGATGCGGTACGACGGGTAATTATGAACGTTATAGCGTAGGAAAGGGACTCCAAAAGGTGAGAAAGTTATATTCGCCCCGCGACGAATTAATTCACCTATACTCGCCCCGCAAATTTTCATACGACGGAACGTATGCGCTTGACACCATGTAGACCCTGACGATCTGACGCGCTAATACACTCTTTAGGTCTAGGGTGTTACCCACACGAGAGACCGTACCCCGTTTACTGACCGTTCACTACCTCCAGAATCGTGCTTGCACGTGTGTATGTGTGTGTACATGTTGAGTATATTGTAAGCGACGCATGTAGAGTTTTAGAATATTTAACCCCTTCCTGTCTAAAAGCGGTAATTAATGCGTTTGCCAAATACGCTTCGAAACCTTCCCACGTTGCGATTGCACGTTAAATTATCCTTAAGCGGAGCAATGCACCTCGTTCCCGCAGGGATAACTTCGTATTAAAAAAGGGAATTTAGAAGCGCCCGATATTTAAGAGAACGATGAACAAAACAACGAATTTCTCGCAAACGTTGAAATTCAAACGCAAAAATTTTTTTCTTAATTGTTACTTCATTTCTGGGACCCTCCTTTTTGTTGTAACGCAA